TATATATATATATATATATAGTGTTTTTAAAAAATCTGTAAGCTGCCTCAAATATTTTAAATACAGAGGCGGGGTAAAAGTATTTAAATTAAATAATAAATATTAATTAACTTATTAACCAGCATCCTAATAACTCATTTGGAAAACTGCTCTGTGAGTGAACACCAGCTGCCGAACATTGTAAATAAACCCTGGGAGATAATACCTGTTAGTGTTACTACCACCGAGCTTAGAAACTAACTCATCCCATGACTAGACTCCTTGATCAGGGAGAACTCCAGGACACTCTGGACTTATAGAGCTTTAGGGAGTAGCTGGGTTAGTATCTATCTATTGACTTTGTTTTTTATCTGCTTAGGTTAAAGTACCCATTCTCCAGATACTTTATGATGCTCTGTTTCACCCCCCTCCCTTTTTCTTTCTCTCCCTTCTATTAATTTCGAGTTTTCATATCTCCAACTCAAAACTCCAGTCATCTGAAAAAGTGGGCTGTGCCCACGAAAGCTCATGATACCATCTACATGTTTCATTAGTCATATAAGTGCTACCAGACCATTTGTTGTTTGGACTTACTGAGAGAGACTGCTGCCAGGGCCATCCCTCAGTGCAAGGAAGGAAAGATACACTGCCAGACGGGGCATATTTAAATATCCCATGCTTCATTAGCATGTTCCCAGGCGGTCACCATTTTGGAAACTGACTAGCCTGGAATAACTGCCCGCGTCTACACGCGGCAGTGAAACGGGAGTTCGAAGAAAATCCCTAACTCCAATTAGCTGTTACTCCTCATGGAATGAGGTTTAACAGATAATTTGACTATTAAGCTGGTCTGGAACAAATGCAATGGCTTAGGGTAGGACCACAAACTGGGGCAAGCTTCTTAGTCATTGTGGGGCTTCCAACCTTGCCTCTGAGGCTCTACCCAGTTCAGTGGCAATGGACAAACGGATTTCACCCTCACAGGTAACGAGTTGGAAGCTGAAGACGCTGGAGATTACCACAGTCGGGAGAGTACAACCTCCCTGCCCCAACAAGACAGAACTTTCCAGCATGGTGCTGTAGCTTTCCTCATTTAAACTTCTCCTTCTACACCAGCGGTGGGCAAGTACTGGACTATGGATTGGATCTCGTCTGCCAGGATTCGCCCCCAGAGGGCCGCCACTACTATTTTTACATGATGCTCTGCAGGTACCAGCAACCACAACTCCCATTGGCTGCAGATCACTGTTCCCAGCCAATGAGAAATAAAGCGAGTGGTGTCCTGGTCCGCACCACTGTCCAACACTCCTATTGGCTGGGGATGGTAATCCGTAGCCAATGGGAGCTGCAGAGGCTAACCTTGGCCAAACTGGGCTTCCTTTGTTGCCTACCTTTGTCCTAGACAGACTCTTGTAAACACCTGGGCTGTGTCTACACTAGCATGAATTTCTGGAAATGCTTAAAACGGAATACTATTCCGTTTTTAGTTTTTCCAGAAAAGAAGCGTCTACATTGGCAGGCTGCTTTTCCGGAAAAGCCCCTTTTCCGGAAAAGTTCCCGAAAAAGCGTCGGTGGCCAATGTAGATGCGCTTTTCCGGAAAAGAGCCCCGATTGCCTTTTCGCGATCGGGGCTTTTTTCCGGAAAAGACTACTGGGCTGTCTACACTGGCCCTTTTCCGGAACAGTGTTCCGGAATAAGGACTTGTGCCCGAGCGGGAGCAGAATAGTTTTTCCGGAATAGCGGCTGATTTTGTACAGTACAGCGTCGTTGCTTTTCTGGAAATTCAAGGGCCAGTGTAGACAGCTCGCAGCTTATTCTGGAAAAGCGGCTGATTGTCCGGAATAAGTGGCCCAGTGTAGACACAGCCCTGCTGTTGGAGCTGCTGGATCAGTCCCTTTTAGATACCTCTTTGAGGCCAAATGCAGGACTATGTAGCACTTTAAAGACTAACAAGATGGTTTATTAGATGATGAGCTTTCGTGGGGCAGACCCACTTCCTCAGATCAAATAGTGGAAGAAAATAGTCACAACCATATATACCATCATCTCCGCTGAATCACCAGTAGGTGGGGTAAAGTCTCATAAATCAGAGAACCTTCTTAGTTTGCTAAGTTCTGCCTAAAAGTGCAGCATATGAGATACAATTATTTGATACAATTGATGAGGAAGAAGAGCTTAAGGCAGGGAGGGACAAGGATGCCTTCCTAATGACAATGTACAGCCCATAAGTGCTCAAACGCCACCCTGTTCCTGGGATTTCACTGAACTCTTTGGGCCCCATCTGCTCCCATTGAGGTCAAGACAAGAGTACCCACTGACTACAATGGGGGCAGAATGAGGCCTTCATATAGCCCATGCTGTTGTGATAAGCACATGACATTTCTCCCTGGCATTGTACAAATTGGATGCACTGTGCGGGAGTTTACGTCCTGGCTTGAGGGAACGAAGGCTGGGCTCCTCTGATACTTGACACCGTCTAACTTGTAGCCCAGTGGTTAGAGGACTCACGTAGGGTGTTGATCCCTCTGCCTGAGATCAAGGAAGGATTTGAATGGGGGTCTCCCACCTCTCAGCACTAACCTCTCTGCAGCTGGATATCTTGATATCCTTCAGACTCTCCTGATGAATCTGTTCCCCTATGGATAAATAAAGTGTCAGTGGAGCAGGGGGGACTCGGCCCTGGGTTTCCAGCCTTTAAATGGAATGGGGGTCACGACTCCCTGCCCTGGCACCCCAAGTGGCACAAAAGAATTTTACTGTTATTTCTCCTGATGTTGCCATTTTATTTGCCTTTTTTCTATTCGCTGGGCCTTTGGGTCTGCTAGTCTGTGATTTTCCTCAAGTGTTTCTCAGACTGATTCCACTAGCACAGACCGCACAGCAGCAAACCGTGCCGTGCAGCTCCATGCTCTGGGTAGCAGACAGCATCTGCCGTTTTCTTTTTCCTGACTTCATCTTCGACATGCACTGAAGGCCACCAGCTCACTCGCTAACGACTGTTCCAAGCTGTTACACACACACACACACAGATACAAGTGCACAGTCTCAGCCTCCTCGTTGAGATCTCCAGACTTGTGAGTGAGTTTGTACATTGAAGGGTTCTGGCTTCTGAATCTATGACAGGACCACTGTGATCCTCTAGTGTGACACAGGCCATGAGACTTCCCTAGAATAATTCCTATTTGAACTAGAGTCCATCTTTTAAGGAGGAAAATTCATCTGCTTTTCAATCCATTCTAACCTCTGCTCTTCTGAACCACAAGCTGCAGAACAAAGGTGAAGAGGGAGATTTTCCTTCATCAAGCAATTCCACAGAGTGCAGGAAATGAAGCCCATCCCTCTAAACCACATTGCTTTACCCTGACTGTGTGATGTATTGAGAACCTACTATCCACAAGAAGTGAGATACCACGGGCACTGTCATGCCACCAAGCTCCTGCACAACCCTGCTACTGCTTTGCCTCAATCCAATCCACTACGCCAGCTGGGCCAAAGGGACAAACCTTTTTACAACAGGCATTAAGTAGAGGGAGGGGAATCAGTGGGATCACAAAGGCAATGTTTTTATTTAGCTGGTGACAAAATGGTACTTTATGGACTCTCTTTCGCTACACAACTCATGTTCATCTCATTTTTTTTAATGTCTAAAATTTAGTGAAGAAATCCGGTGGACTCAGACACAAGGTAAGACAAAGAGCCTGACATAAAACCATCCCTCTGAACATATGGAGGGATCTAACTTATGTACTCGGGCAAAGAAAATTAAATACACACCCACCCACACATGGACACTAAGGTGAGTCACAAATCAGTTGCAAAGACCACATCGTGACCCCTGTCCGTATATATTCGGGAGGAGCTGTGCTCTCAGAAGTATTGCCAAGCCTCCAGGAATTGTCCTGGAGTCTCCAGAAATTAACTATTAATCTTTAATCAAAGATGATGTCACATGAGGAAACCTCCAGGATCACGTCCAACACAGTTGGCACATCTAGTTCCTTCTTTGTTCACTTACACACATTTATCTAGAGTGGCTGCTTTGTATATCTCCACCCAAGAGCCATTTCCCTCTGTACGGAGAAGATATAAACGGGTCATTTATGAACCCAGTGTGTTTGTATGTGCCAGTTTAGAAGCATCAAGATGCTCTCACAGACTCATCTTCTCTGGCTTCTAGTGCTCTGGATTCAGGGTAAGAACAAGGAGGGGGTGATATTGACTTCATTTAATTACTCTCTTTATTGACAGGCATTTCTGTGGTATTCGATCTGATAGCATTTGAGCACCTCACAAGCATGAATGAAAATTAACTATTTTGAGATGAATAAATAGGAAAAAATGTATTTCTTTATCTAATTTGTAATAGTGCTTCAGTACCCAAACATCAGTGGATGGAGCTTTCATTTGTTAAACACTATTCTCCTTGATTTAAATCTTTAATTGCTTTCCTCTGTGCAGACTCCTGTGGGGACATTGTGATGACTCAGACTCCAGAATCGCTGTCAGTGTCTCCAGGAGACAGAGTCACCATCAACTGCAAAGCCAGTTCCAGTGTTAGCAGCTACATGGCCTGGTACCAACAGAAACCCGGACAAGCTCCTAAGCTCCTCATCCACAGCGCCTCCACCCGGCCTTCTGGGATCCCAGACCGGTTCAGCGGCAGTGGGTCTGGCACTGACTTCACTTTTACAATCAGCCGGGTTGAAGCGGATGATACTGGGAATTATTATTGTCAGCAGGGTAACTACTACCCTCTCACAGTGATACAGACCAATACAAAAACCTCCCTGCTCTCTTCTGTTTTCAGTTCCTCTGTATGTCAGCTGCCTCCTGCAATCATGCTTCCAGCAGACTTGCTGGGAAGCGGGAATCTCTTGCTTCAAGAGCCTCCCACCTCGCAGTTATTCATTTCATTTCTAGAGTCCCCAAGTCTTGAATTCATTTCACAATTCATTGCATCATACGCAGTTGTTTGCCTTCTCCAGAAAAGTGCTTTTCTTTTACAGGGTGGATCTCACCTCCCAACAGTCAGGTGACCGGGTGGACAAAGAGCTGTCCTGCTATCTTCTCAAAGCATCCAGGACACCATGTTCCGGGCATAAGTAACAAAAGCAGAGTGGAAGTTCCATTTCCCTGCAGTACTTACCATATCTGAATCAGTACAGCAAGTTCCAGCCCTACAGGAGGCCCTGCATATCTACAATGTTACCTATTGTCTTAAAAGAAGGAACACAACCACCCCTTCTACAGTCTAATTTTTTGTATTAGTTCCACTAGTCCCAGGCTCCATTAGACGCTTGTCTGAGTGCTGTAAAACTGGTTAAGCAGGGCTCCTCCAAAAGGAAGCAGAAATTCATGCAGGAATCAGCTCTGTAAACTCGTGCGCCTTCCTCAGACTTGGGCAGAGGAGAGTGGTGCACAGCTCTAACAAGCGCTGGCTGAGTTGTAGGAAAAGCCAGCAGGGAGCTATTGAAAGAACGGGCAGGGACCTGGGTTGCAAGAGGACAGCCAGCACCTGTAAGAAATGTTAAGTTACTTTCACCCCTGAACTCAAGAGAAGTTCTTCTGTACCTGCAACCTTTTTACAATACATTTTTGGAAGGACAGGCAAGGAAAAAAGGGAGGAGGCGAGGACTTGCATAGAAACGAGGAATACACTTGCACTGAGGTTGAGACAGAAGCGGGAGCCTGACCCATTGACAAACTCTAGCTAAGGTTCAAAAGGGTCAAAAACAAGAGGGGTCCGCTATAGACCACCTAAGAGGTGGATGCCACTTTTTTTCAACACCAAAATCACCCAAACACAGGACTTGATGGTCCCAGAGGACTTCAACTAACCACTCATTTGTAGGGCAAACACCACAGCAGGGCACAGGTTACCCAACATGGTCTTTGAATGCAGGGAGACACATTTTCATTACAGAAGATGGAGAAAGCAGCTAGGGAAGAGGCAGTTCTAGGTTTGTTGCTGGTATCAGTCCAGGGGCGTTACACTGGTGGTGGAAGTAACAAAAAGTCTTATCCGTACAGGAGGGGAGGGCACACCATGGTGGGGCGGGGGCATGTGACCTCTCTACATGACCTCCCATGTGACTCCACCCTGTCCCTCCCCATCCTACTCTTTTGGGGGAGGGCAGGCTGGGAGCAGTATGTTGGCTGATGGCAGTTCTACCTCTCCCAGCAGAGAAAGGAGCCGAACTCTCCTCCCCTCCCTGCCACTGTCCCTCCATGGAGTTGTTGCATCTGTGTACAGGGCTGGGGGGGCAGTCCGGGCAGTCCTGCTCCTTTCCTCCCTGGACAGGGCAGTAGGGGAAGGAGCAGAACATCACCAGCTCCTCTAGCTGCCACAGCACTCCCATCTTCCCTCCAGGCTCCAGCCTTATACAGAGAGACACAGCTGCCAGTGAAGGGGATGAGAATGGCTGTCAGGGAGTCTTTCCAGTAAGCCAAACATAGCTAAAAATAACTTGCTGGTATTGCGTGCTGACCCATAGCAGCCCACTTGCACCACTGAGTGATACAGAAGTCTATCAGGGATGATGAGTTATTACATTTCCTCATCAGAGAGACATGCTACATTAAAGCTGCAGGCAGGAGGGCAGGCAATGGGGCAGTGGCTTTCAGATGAAGACTTTACAGGTGTGCAGTTGTAGGCGTTGTTCATCAGATAACAGCCTATCAGGTATAACTAGGAATCACAGAGCCTGGGAATCTGATGAAACAACTGTGCAATTCTGAGACTTTACAAATAAACCTTTTAAAAGGTTTTATGAGTTAAACTTCATTAAATTGAGTATACTTTGAGACATTTAGCATGTGTGTCCATCTTCCCTGTGTCCAAAGTGATCTTATTAATGGCCTCCCTTCAAGGAAACACAACTGGGATACAACCTAGAGTGGATCATGCAGCTTTTAAAAAACAATATTTTATACCTGAATACAATCCTTAACAAGGTAGATCACTGTCAGTGTTAACACCTACTTTGCACGCACATTGCACAGGTGTAAATTATTCTACAAGTGAAATGTAATAGGAAATCAAGCCTCTGGCCTTCAGATATCATAAACTTTTTCCTGTTTGTGTACACGCAATGAAAATTATTCCAAGAGTGTCCAGCAAAGAAGTATCCCCAATCCCCAAAAAGGGTTACATGTTACCTGCAAACCAAACACTGGCTATTGAAGTAACACCAAAAATTTAGCCTAAGGGCTCCATTGTGTGCTTGCTTTCTGTATGCAACATTCCCTATCATTAAGTAGGATGTAATGGGCACAGCTCTCTCTCTGCAACCTCTATACTGGGGAACAGGGACTGCACATTTTCATAGAGCTGTATTGCTTAGTACCACCCTTGTGCCACTTCCATGTTCTGTAAGGTATATATAAATACTAGGGATTTAATGCTTGATCCTTCTGTGTCTGTCAGTCAAGAAATATCAAGATAATCTTTGGGACTCATTCTTGTGCTTTAAATAGAGGGTAAGAACAGAAAATGGGTAAAGTTTACCAACATCTTCCAAAATAATATTTGGGAAAAATTTAAAGATGCAGTTTCCTTCTGTTAGACATTAAATTATTTCAGTGGTCCTATGCTCTTATTATTTTATGCAGATTCCATTTTTGGGAGGACAGGTGTTTCTCCCTGGCAGTGGCTCCAGGTACCAGCAGAATTCAGGACAAACGCCTACGCTCCTCATCCACAACACTTCCACCCGTCCCTCCGGGATCCCATAGAGGTTCAGCGGCAGTGGGTCTGGCACTGACTTCACATTCACCATCAGCAGGGTTGAAAACGATGCTGCTGCAGATTACTACTGTCAGCATTTCTATGACACTGGTACAGAGCAGTACAAAAACTTCCCTGCTCTCCAGAGTTTATACTGCTCAGTGCAACAGCTGCTTCCCAACCAGTCATGGAACCAGATAAAATGTCGCTGGCAGACACAGTAGCCTTTGGTCCCCTGTAAACCTCACTTTTTGAGGAATAAGGTTTGTTTGTTTTTTTCCAACAAATGGGCCCGGATACACAGGGCTTTTTATCACAAAAACCTCTTCTGCAAAAAGAATCTGAAGAGGATATGTAAATGAGAGCACAATATATGCAAATGAGCATTCCACTTCCATATCTTCTGCCAAAAAAAAACCACGCAGTGTAGAGGTAGCCTCAGACTCTTCCCATTTCCCCCACTTAGCCACAAAGCTCTCACCCAGAGATACCTGGTGATTGACGACATCCCGTTCAGCCATTTCCCTTCTAATGTTCACTTCTTGTTCTCAGTAGGTATGTGCAGTCTGCCACTGACATTCTGACAGCCTTTTGGATAAGTTTACATGTCACACAATTTCTCAATAAAAGCTCATCATGTGCCTACCCCACAGCAAAACCAGGTGTTATTCACAACAGGAGTTTTATAGACTAAAAGGAAAATGGCATCTGCAGAAACATGACTTATATGGGGACAAATCTATAGCCACCTAGGAATTCTAAATTGTCACTACATTACACACTATAAAAACACAGACTAGCTGGTCCCCTTGTTTCCTGTCTCCATGAGACTAATGTCAGCTGAAATGTGATAGCTGACATGAGATTGCAATTTTTATTGCTGTAAAGACAAGGCCGAAGAAAGTCTAGCCATAAAGAATCTTGTGATCCCTGCACCCTTCCCTGAAAACCCCAATGACCTTGAGAATATACACGTTGAATCCAAATCAAGATGGTTACCAGTGACCAGACTTAGTGATACAGACCACCACAAAAACCTGTCTGATCTCTTCAGCATAGGGACAAAGTAACACTGGCTCTGATGGAGACCAAAGCAGATCAGAACTCCATCGACAGCAATCATGTCATATTTTTTAAATCTAGTGCTCAGAGAGAGAAGACAGAAGGAAACAGAATGGAAGAGCCATGTACTGTCCAGATGCAGGTTTGCAACTCTCCTTGCAGTTCATTGGTATTTGCTCCTCCCTGTTGTCTGCACACTGGGCCACAGAAAATGCACATTTACATAGAGATCTTTTGCATATTTCTACCCACATGACATTTCCTTGCTCCATGAAGCAGATATAAGTGTTACAGGCTAATGCTTTATGTTCCTCAGTTTGATACCTTTCAATCTAGAAGCAGCAAGATGATCTCACAAATCCAACTTCTCTGCCTCGCTGTCCTCTGGATTCGGGGTAAGGAAAGCAGCAGGGGACAGGTCACCTTAAAATAATTTCTTACCAAGATGTCAATAATGACAGCTGTGACCCTGAATTCCCTGACTACCAGACATATTCTCAGTCCCATTCGATAGATGGGTGGGTTTGTTTCTTAAGATCACAGTAGGTCTTAATTACAAGAACTGTCACCAGGTGTGATTATAACTACCCTTTAAAACCGAGGTGCTAACACTGCATCATATCTTTGTTAAACTGGATTTGATTTACACTGACTCTATGTTACTTTACTTTACTTTACTTGTTCTCTGTGCAGGATCCAGAGGGGACATCCTTGTGACTCAGACTCCCGAATCCCTGTCGGTGTCACCAGGAGACACGGTCACTATCAACTGCAAAACCAGCTCCAGCGCTAGTAGCTACATGGCTTTGTATCAGCAGAAACCAGGACAAGCTCCTAAACTTCTTATCTATAGCACTAACTCTCGTCCCTCTGGGATCCCAGACCGGTTCAGTGGCAGCGGCTCTGGCACTGACTTCACTTTTAAAATCAGCCGGGTTGAAGCAGATGACGCTGGAGATTATTACTGTCAGCAGCATTACAGCTACCCTCCCACACAGTGATACAGACCAGCACAAAAACCTGCCTGCTCTTGTCAGCCTACACAGTCACCATAGTCAGTAGTGACACTGAAAACTAGAGTGGCACAGCTGCAGCATTTCTACTGAAGATGTAGCCTAAGTTTCTGTTCCTCTGGTGATCCAGCTGCATCCTGCCCAGTCACACTATCTACGGACCTAATGCGGTTGATCCTGGGGGTTCCATCAACTTCTCTAGGGGTGTGGATTTTTCACACCCCTGAAGGACTATGCTGAGGTAACTTTTCAGTGTAGACCAGCCCTGTGAAACTGCTGCCCCCTACAGGGCATGTGGGCTAAGG